ACGGAACCCGATAACCACACAAAGGATAAGGGTGCCTAAGGGTGCCACACAAGGACAATGCAGAGATAAACCGGTAAGATGGATCAATGAAGGGGAGGTGGGGGGGGGGGGGTGATGGGATGAAAAAGAGAGGGAGGGAGAGAGAGAATGTATGTTTGAGTAGGAAAGATGAAATCAAACCGAGAGGGTAGAGGGTATGTGAGCGAGGAAGAAGAAAAGATGACGGACGGATAGAGAGGGAGAGGGAGGAGTAGGAGTGGGTGGAGGTGGAGGTGGAGAAAGAGGATGGAGTGATTGATTGGAATGACGCCCGCCCGCGGCATTCCTTCCTTTACTTCAGGCGATAAGCAGTTGGACTAACTTATCGATGGACTATCGGGTGGACTCGCACGTGATGAACGATAGATAGAAAGAAGATTAGAATAGTTGCAAGTACAAGTTACAACCCTTCACTTTCACTTGTGCATTCACTTCTTATTATACTTCTTCTTTCTTCCAACTTTATTTTGTTTTCCTTCTCCTTCACCCTCGTATATTCCTCTCACCTTCTTCCCTCTTCCCTCTTCTCCATCTCTCCTTTCGAACTACTGGGCCATACAGTCCTTGTATCATATCATATCAGTAGAACAGTCAGATTGTCCAAGCCTTGCTTCCAATACTTGCCTTCACCCCCCACCTTTTCCCGCATTATACGTCATTCAAACCATGGAGTCGCAGCCAGCCCAGCCGCCAGCCCAGGCGATGAGCGCAGGTATGCCAATTTTCATTACTCCCAAACATCGAGGAGAAGCTCTCTAATAGTAATGGTGGTGTGGAAAAGATGAAATCGCGCTATATGACCGCCAAATCCGCCTCTGGGGAGTAAAAGCTCAAGAAAAGTGAGCTCCCTCGGTAGTCCCCTCCGTGGCTTGCTCAGCGTCTCCTGACCCCCGGTCTTCTCACAGGCTGCGATCCGCGAATATCCTACTTATCACTTTCAAAGCTCTGGCGAACGAGGTCGCCAAAAACCTGGTGCTTGCGGGGATTGGTTCTCTTACCATCATCGACCATGAGAGTGTGACGGAGGAGGATCTCGGCGCGCAATTCTTCGTGAACGAGGATTGTAGAGGCCAGAATGTAAGCGGGGAAACCCTTTCCTCCATCAAACTCCCATTCATCAAATGCTGAAGCGAAGTCCTATAGCGAGCACAAGCTGCAGCGCCGGCCATTCGTGCCATGAACCCTCGGGTTCAGCTCCACATCGACACGGAAGATGTTCACCTCAAACAACCAGAGTACTTTGCACAGTTCGACATCACGATCGCCACAGAACTTGACTTCCACACGTACACGACCATCAATGCCGCGTGTCGGATAGCCAACCGGCCTTTCTACGCCGCCGGGCTGCACGGTTTCTACGGCTTCGTCTTCGCCGATCTGATTTCCCACGACTTTGTGATCGAGAGGTCCAAATCCAACGTGGCCTCGGTCACCCAGGAGACCCCGACGCGGAGTATCCTCAACATCACCACCAAGAAGGAGAACGAGAAGGTCATTGAGATGGTGACCAAGCGCGAGGTGTACTCCCCTCTGATCTTGGCCAACACCTCCCCGCTTCCCGAGGAATTCACGCGTCTGCCCCGCAAACGCAAGCAAGTCACCCCGCTCCTCACCTGTCTCCGCGCGCTGTGGGAGTACCAGAAACTCTCCGCCGGCGCGCTGCCGACATTCTCCCACCAGGACCTCGAGGTCTTCACCAAGCTCGCGCGAGACGGCCACCAGGAACTGAAACTGGACATCGCAACTCTCGACGCGGAGTTCCTGCGCACCTTCTTGCAGAACCTGAACAACGAGTTGAGTCCCGTGGCGGCCTTCGTCGGGGGCAGTCTGGCACAGGATGTGATCAATGTGCTCAGTGCACGCGAACAACCCCTCCAGAACATGCTGCTGTTCGACGGCGAACGTTTGACCGCTCCCATCTACCCCCTGCACCCTATCTTCCCGCCCGAGGTCGACAATATGCTCCCCGCTGTGATTCCAGTCCCGAACCCAATCCCCTTGGACGGGGCACCCGCCCTGGCACCTTGATGAGCCCCACAAGCATCCTGCAGAGGAGGATAAAAGAAATGAAGAGGCGTCGAGATAGGGAAAGGCAATCAACCCTTCTGGAGGTTTGGTGCCGAAAATGAAAAGGGTTCAATTAGAGAGTTCTTAGTCGCTACTATGGGGCAGTAGGGATCTTTGCCATATATCTACGCTTGCGCTGTAATGCTCCACACCTAGCCTTTTACCGCCGAAGGTAACGCCGTGTATGATAGATTTGACAATACTACAATCGACCCACTCTTTAAAGCACTACTATGGCCGTCGACTGTGTGGCCGTTCGAGGTGGCTTGCGTCTCAATGTCCTGCGCGCCTGAATTCTCCAGACTTTGGCAGAATCACGAAGCTCATATGTCATGTCCCTTAGCCGATCATCTTCGCCTGTTGGTTGCGGTGCAATGCAACCTCGGATCCATCCCTCAAAAGACCGGGCGGGCCAAGTCATCTGAGACCGGGATTTCAAGGATTCAATGGTTTTCCAAGTAAAGTCAAATGCAAGTTAATAGTCGGATAAGAAATATGAACAGTTCAGGCTTGCTGGAATGAAATGGAAGACACCCAAAAGAAAGTTATATAGATTTAAACTCCTTCAAATCAGTGCGTTGACGTCTCCTTGCCAACGAGAGCGGAGCTTTCCTCGTCGTCCACTTTCCGAGGTCCCATTGTGTTCCTACTGTGCCCCCCGTTGTCTTCCTCATCTGAGATGAGCCCCTGCAGCTCGAACTCCTCCGCGTCATGGACGTGCTGGTTCTCGGATGCCGAGCGAGCGTGGCCGTTCAGAAAGCGGCCGTTGGGCTGGTTAGGCTTGTAGCCGGGCGAACTTTCGCCGGCGTCGTCTGCGAAGCTGGAGGAGCGGGAGCGGGACGGTGGCTTGGTGGATTCAGGCCATGCGTGAACAGCGTAGATGTGCAAGAGGACGTTGACGACTGAGAGGAAGGATGTTAGAGCGAGGTCTCGGGGCAGATCAGTGAGACATTCAGGTACAACGTACAGAGGAAGAGGATGAAAGCAATGCTGTACAGAATCAGGACATATGAAACATGTGTGATTCCAGCGTCGCTGAGCAGTTGCATTTGTTCTTCGGTGGCGCCCATGAAGAGAAACCCAGAAGCGTACAACAACTAGAATCAAGTCAGTACAGTAGCTCAGAAATGGAGAGTGACCAGGCCCTTAAGGCAACATCCAGCTCCTGTGTCCAGGCGACTTACGAAAGGCGTGAGATACTGAAAGCTATTCGGGTCGGAACCGTCCGGGCTGACGGTGCCCTTGTCTCTGAGCACAAAGGAGATCTCAATGATCCTGGTAAAGCCGGCAGCCATCAAGGTGTAACCGAAGATGGAGTGGATCATAGTACTGATCATCAGATGCTGGGGGTGAGCGGACATGGCATAACCGGTGAGTAGAATAACCAGGGCTGGAATGAGATTGCGCTTGGGGCGGCCATTGCGTTTCCGGCTCAGCCAAATACCCAGCAGCCCGGCACACCACCAAACAATTCCCATCGTGGTATGTTGTAGATCGTTGTGCACCCAGGGACCTCCCCACCGGTGCTCGGTGAAGGTGTTGACACATCCCCAGGCGGCGATGATCAGCGAATCGAAGAACTCCTGGCTGCGACCCGTGCGGCGAAGCCAGTACTGACCAACGAGGAGCAGGATGGTAAGCAGAATTCCATAGGCGATGAAAGCGCTGCCCATGATGAAGTGAGCCAGACACTGTCCCAAGTGGTCATCCCGGCAGAAGCCCATGGCTGTGATTCCTCCAAACAGCATCTGAACCCAGCTTGCGACCGGCATGGCCTTGCCGACAACTCCGTGCGCAACCACCATGACCCGACGAATCCGCCCGTGAATGCCCTTGGTGAGATGTAGTTTGAGATAGACGCCCAGTACAATCTGAACCACCATCATCAACATCAATGTATTTGCGAAAGACGCATGGACGTTTTTGGCGAATTGGCGACCCTTGTGAGCATGGCCCAGGAAGTATGCGACTACTGCGACAATCGTGCCGACAATCTGGAGAGGGACATGCCAGCGCGACCGTACAATCTAGTTGTCAAGCAAAAAAACGTTAAACCCCAAGGTCCATACACTCGAGTATGACTCCGCAGCCATCCAAATGAGGATGAGGCTGTCGGAGATAAGTACGGAGACTTGAACTTACCCCGAGAACCATACCCAAGGGGAAAATGATGCCAAAGGCAAATCCCATGAGGATCATATGCAGCCATAGCGTCGAATCCTGGGGGGAACAAGTTATCAGTTGGAAACAGAACAGAAAGAAGGGGGGTGAGGGGGCTGTAGCTCGAAGGCAAGATGAAACCTACAATCGGATCTTCGGAGATGGCGGCACCGTCAGGAACATTTTCATGGCCTTCGTGAGCGCACGCTGGCATGGCCAGCAGCAAGGTTACCAGCAACCCGGACAGGTGAGATCGACTCGTTATTGCCATGATTGCCACTTCACTTCCTCTTGAAAAAGAAAAAAGAAGGTGTGTAGTGAGAGGACGATAGGGAGAGAAGAGAGAAGGGGATGTGCAGAGAGGGAGAGGGAGGAAAGAGAGAGAGAGAGGGGGGACAAAGAGTGGGTGAGTTCTGGCCGATCGGATGGGTGCTGGTGCTGGTGCTGGTGCTGGCGGAGGCCCTGCCAGGCCCGGGACGGAGGACGTACTCGTAAGCATCCACAGGCGGCATCTAAAGCGCATTCGGGCAAAGCAGATTGGACGAAGGGCTCCGCATTTCTATACTTGGTACGGAGTACAGGTACTGTACGTAGACAGGTAGTCCACCTCTCCCTTCTCTTTCACTTGATTATTCACTACCACTGATCACTACCACTGATACAAACCCCCAGGACATTCCCGAAACTCGTTTGACAGTTGATCTGCTGGGTCATTATCAATTTATCATATCATCATGCCATCTCCGCGAGGCTCCACCGCCGAATCCGGCAACAAGCCTGCATCTCCAGCTCCAGTCGACCAACAAGCGTCAAAGAAAGATAAGCTGGTACATTATCCTCCGGCAAGACAAAAGCCAAAAAGAAAGAACCATTTCTACCCTGTCTCATTTCGCTTCAGGTTATACTACGCCAGTCGGTTGCAGATATACAAACCCAAATCGCCGACTTGGAGGCTCAGATCGCCGAAGCCAAGGCCCACTTGAAGTATGACAATCCCCCGAGTCCGCTCCGAAAAGGAAGGATAGATAGTATGAATACTTATCGATTGACGTCCACGTGATGGCCAGGAACGACCCAAAAGCCACGGTGCAACAACATATCCGTCTGTTGCATGAATACAACGAAATCAAGGACGTTGGGCAGGGGTTACTGGGCCTGATCGCAGATGCGCGGGGAGTGCGACAAATTGACGTGCAAAGAGAGTATGGGGTGGGTGATCGCGATTGAGAATCACCCTGAGGGCTTACGGGACAGGAGCTTGAGTGATGTTTCTTTTACTCCATCTCAATTTTTGTTTCTATATGAGGAGATATTCTTCAATAAGAGATACAAGAGGTACAATACAGGTCATCGACCTGTGCGCACGGCAAGGAGGGGAGGCTGTATTCTAATTCACCTCCAAGAAAAACAGGTCTCATGTTCTCCATCCAAGCACCGAGAGACCAGCCAACTCCGCAACATGGTAAATGCGCGTCACATTATCCGTTGGGGGACACAATGTCATGCATGTGCCTCCAAATTCATGTCACATGAGAAATAAGAGCGTAAAAAATAAGAAGTGGCGAAGATCTAGAAACAAGTGGTGAAAAGAGACAGGATATTAAACCAGCTGTACAGGATATATAGCGCAATTGAATTAGTGGCCCTTGTCGAGGCTCTGCAAGTTGACCAGCTCGAAGTAGCGACCTTTGGCGCGGATCAGCTCCTGGTGTGTACCGCTCTCCACGATCTTGCCTTGGTCAAATACGTAGATGATGTCGGCTTTCTGGATGGTACTGAGACGGTGTGCGACTGCAATGGTGGTTCGGCCCCGAGCAGCAGCATCGAGTGCTGCTTGCACAACCTTCTCGGATTCCGAGTCAAGGGCAGAGGTGGCTTCGTCGAGAAGCAGAACTCGGGGATCCCGGATCAGGGCCCGTGCGATAGCCACACGTTGCTTTTGACCTCCAGACAACATGCCTCCTTTGCTGCCGACTACCGTATTGAATCCATCTCTGTGAGGCGCAGTGTTAGTTAAAGAGCCTTTAAGAATGGTTTTCAGGACGAGAACTTACGGGAGAGACATGATGAAATCATAAATATTGGCTTCCTTGCAAGCCTTGACCAGCGCCTCCTCGGGTACCTCCTCACCAGTGACGCCCAGGAGAATATTCTCCCTGATGGTGCCTTGATACAAGGTGGGTTCCTGGCTAACAAGCGATAGGAAACTGCGGTAAGAATTGACGTTCAGCTGAGTGATGTCTTTGCCATCAATTAGGACCTTTCCAGCGATGGCATCATAGAACCGTTCAAGAAGCGCAATGGTGGTACTTTTACCACAACCACTTGGGCCAACAAGGGCAACGTATTGTCCGGGCTTGACGGTCAGATTCAGTCCACGCAGGACCGGCTGTTCGGCGCGAGTAGGGTATCTGAAATGAACGTCACGGAATTCGATAGATCCCTCCACAGACTGAAGCTTTTCGCCTTCCTCCGACCAGGTGTCGATCTGCGGCTTCCGGTCAAAAAGTCTGCGGAATTCAGCCGCCGCATTCTTCGCCTTGCCCATGTCTGGAGCGAATGAGAAGACAGTACCCGCAGACTGGGCACCGAACAGAATCTCGGAGAAGCAGACGAAGAAACGAAAGACAGAATACTCGTGGTGCCCCAGGAGCGTACCTCCATACCAGAAACCGAGGGCAACACAGAAAAAGACCAGAGCCTGCGAGGCGGCATATAGAATAGAGGATTTCAGCACCGAGATCAGACTTGTACGGCCCTGCGCCGCTAACTGGCCGTGGTAGATATCCCAAACATCCTTTTCCCGGGTGAGAGAGGCCACGGTGCGAATAGCCGAGGTCGCCTCACACGCATAGCTTGCAGAGCCTTCATAGGCGCTCTTAGATCTTTGTTGGAACTGCGCGAGCATGTAGAAGCGGTAGAATCCACATCCCAGTAGAACCGGAACGACGGAAATGCAGACCAGAGCCAGCTTCCACCCGATGCTGAGAGAGATAATCATAGCCGCACCTAGGGTCGTGCTGGTCATAAGGATCGTACCCAATGTGGCACCACTGACACCCGACAGATGTTTGGTCTCAGTCGACAAGAAGGATGTGAGTGCACCAGTGCTGTTTTCCTCTCGATCAAAAAAAGTAATATCCTGACGCAGCATGGATCTAAAGGCCATGCTTCGAGCTCGCCGAATCAATCTCTCCGAGCACACGGCGAAAGCGGCACCATTGATGGAAAGGTTGATGAACTGCGCGATTCCCACCACAAAGAACATTAAGGCCCAAAAAGCACCATCATGACGAATTTTAGCGGCCTCGCTCGTAGGCAGCGAAAGAGTGCTGATGGCTTTGGCGTACAGAACGGCCTGGGTGGGTTGGCCACCACCGGAAAGTACCGCAAAGACCAATCCGATGAGCATATAGAGAACCTCAGGGCGGTTGAAGGAAGCAATGAATTTGACCAAAGACCAAAGTGAGTATTTCTTAGCGATCTCCGGCTCTCTCTTGGCCAGAATGGCGCTGGAAATTGACTTATGTGTTCCACTGCGTCCAAGGCCATTACCGGCGAACATCTTCTCGTCGTCATCAGCTAGAGAACCGGTGCCACTGCTTGCTGACTTGATGCGTTCGATCTCCTCCCTCGCGAAGTCATCCTCGTCCATATCTGCTTCGTCAGTAGCCAAGGCTTCCGCGTCCTTCTCCTCGTTAATGCGCTGTGCTTCCACGAGGCTGTGGTAGGTGCCCTTGCGACCAACGAGTTCGTCATGATTGCCTTGTTCCACAATCTTACCGTTCACCATAACGACAATATTGTGGGCTGACTTGATGGTAGAAAGACGGTGAGCAATGACAATAGTAGTGCGGCCTTCGGCAGCTCTATCCAAGGCTGCCTGAACAACACCTTCAGATTTCGTATCCAGAGCAGATGTGGCTTCGTCGAGCAGAAGAATCTTCGGGTCACTGACTATAGCGCGCGCGATAGCAATGCGTTGCTTCTGTCCTCCGGACAGTAGGAAACCGCGTTGACCCACATTCGTCTCGTAGCCTTCAGGAAGGGCTGCGATGAAGTCGTGAGCGTTGGACATCTTCGCTGCGTTTTCAATCAATTCCCTGATTTTGTCCTCGGATTCGTTTTCATACTTCGTGCCGATAAGGCCGTGTCGAATGTTGTGATAAATCGTCGTACCGAAGAGGACAGGTTCCTGGCTAACCAGCGATATTTGTTGACGCAGCCAACGAAGGTTGAGAGTCGAAATGTCATGGCCATCCAGAAGAACGGAACCTCCCACAGGGAAATAAAATCGCTCGACCAGACCAACAACAGTACTCTTTCCCGAGCCCGATGGGCCAACAAGCGCAGTCGTCTTGCCGGCAGGCATGATCAGGGAGACACCATCCATGACAGTAACTTCCGGACGAGAGGGGTAAATGTGCTTGATGTCGCGGAATTCGATATTGCCTTCGAAGTGTTCGAGCTTCTCGCCCTCCTCGGAGTAGGGATCCAGAGGAGAGGGACGATCGATAGTCCCATAGATCTTGACGGCTGCGGCGAGAGCATTCGTGAAGGCTTGACCATTGGGGGCGACATTTCCTAGACTGAATGACCCGATCAAGATAGCCATAAGAACCGTCAATACTTGTCCCACGTTAACCTCTCCATCCGTGAGGAAACGAGAGCCCATCCAGAAACCAAGGCCGTAGTTGGAGAACATGATACCGAACATGCCACCAATCATGAAGCCGAGAATAACCTGGGTCTTGATACCCCATTTCTCGGCCTCGGCCAAATGAGCCTCGTATTGCTTGGCCAATTTGTCTTGAGTACCAAATGCGGTTGCGTTACGGATTGAGCTGATGACCTCTTCCGCAACAGTTCCGCCGGCACCAGCGCTCTCCAAGGACTTTTTGCTGTACTTGACAATAAAGCGAGAGCCACCTCCCATAGTCATCACAAGCGCAACAATTGTTGAGGTACAGATCAGAGCGAGTTTCCAATATTTGATATAGGCGACAATAAACGCAGTCACGAAGGTGGCAATGGCTGTTAATGTGAGTCCAACCTTCTCCGAGATACCATCTTGGATCAAATTCGTGTCGGCTGTGATGCGAGTTGTAACTTCACCGGCTCCTAATCTATCGAAGTAGCCCATGTTTTGTCTCAAGATAGACTCCAGATAATGTTCGCGGATTTTCTGAGTAATGTGTTCTCCGGTGTAGATGAACCCGACGGTGGAGATATAGACGGTAACGAACTCGGCAATTCCAAGATACACAAAGTAAAGAACATTCTTCGTTAACTGGTGATAGAAGTCGTGGTACGAGATTTCGTACAGAGCGATTCCTCTGAATGCCGAAGCCAGTGAGCCGAAGAGAATCTAAGAAAGCCCATGTTAATTGTAGAGCCAACCAGTGACACCCGGCCAAACCACTTACGGTAAATAGAGGCAGAGCAGCACCTGCCACGATAGCGCAAAGCGCACTGACAAGCATGATTAAGATGTCCATGCGCGAGGCATAGCGAAACAGAGCGAAAAACGACACATTCACATCCGGCGAATCCAGCTGCTTCTTCAGAATCTCCTTTTCATGCTCTGGGAGGTGGGCGAAAAGCGCATCTGGATCTTCGGATTTGGCTAGAGCATTAGAACGAGAACCCTTGTCCTTCTCTCCTGCTGGGACCACCGTCGAACTAGAGATGGATGAACGACCAGCTGACTTGCGATGTTCGGCTGAGGATGCGCTTCCCCGTTCCATCAACTCGATATCAGCGTTCTCGGCCTTGTCCCCAGGAAGGCGCTCATTTTCTGGAAGAGCCATTTTTGCTCCTGATGGCACGTGGAAATGTCGTCTCACAGTTGTGATTGTGAGGTCGGAAGACGTGTTGTCGAAAGAAAGAGAGAAACGAGAGGACGAAGCGCACTACTCCATGAGGAAGGTGGCTTTCGGTAGTAGGTAGGTGAGAGACGCTGGGAAGACTTCCAACTTGACCACCCTGTATGTTAAGAAGAATCGAAGGAAGGGTGATATTCTCAAGGTAGGCGAAGGTGTTTCGCAAGCTGGGCGCAAATCTTGTCGCGAGCTATGCTTCCACGCGCGGAGGACCTAGAAAGGGATGGTATGGAATGTACAATGTTGATCCAACCCCAAGGTCGTTCGGAGAGGGGAAAAATGAGATTGTTGATTAATTAAAATTAAAGGTGTAAGATACTGCAAGGTAAAAGGGGAGGGGGGGTAGGAAGGAGGGGAAGAGGGGGGTTTGTAGAGGGATATATAATTAAGTAGAAGCTAATAATTTGTTAGTTACTAGTACGGAGTACGTCGCCCTGAACAAGACTTGAATCGAAAGACTGGGGATTTAAATCCTGATGCCTCGTTGTCGGCGTCAGCGAGCGCTTGTCCCCGTCATGTGTGGTACGGAAGAGGAAACATCAATTTTAGCCTCCGTTTCTTAGCGTCATCGGAGCCCCGACTTTCCGAGCCTGTTTTATGCATTGCTTGCGTTTTACTCAGTCAAGTTAAGCGGCGTATTATCATCTAACAATTTTAATGATTCATGCGTATCGAGCGTATTACTAATTGAGAAAGTATTAAGTTAGTTATTCCAATTGCATGGCAATTGCATGGAAAGGACAGCATGCAAATAAATGGTCGAGAGTCACTACGGTGAATTACAGTGCATATATGTACATACTGTACCCCTGGACTACATAATCTTTGTTGTACAGAAAGTAGGCAAGGTATGTCGGAAGAATAACAGAGATGATCAAGCGACAGGCAAGCCACCACGAGCCACTCGGTCGGAACGGAGAGATGAGCGCTCACTCACACACACACATGCATGAAGGTAAGAATGAACCTGCAAAATAGTCTCCAGCCACGGTACAAAACTCACTTGCGTATTGAAGGCACCCAGGAAGACCACGTACAACCAAAGAAGCCTAACAGATCAGACTCCCTTGGAGACATGATCTACTATCAGTCGCGACTCGGGAGCATAATAGAGTATTATTGGTCCACTCTCTGCTCGGTTCTAGAACACCTATCAAGACGGTATCCCCTATCAATGAAAATTAGAGAGCCTGGAGCTGGAGGCCTTCTGCGGGCACTTTATTAGGCCTAGCTCAGGTATATTATACTAGACGGGCAATCGATGTGTGCCAATGGCGAGGGAGAAATCGAGAAAGAACCAGTGCGACGTCCAAGTATCGGTGCCTAAAGAGAGCTTTAGCGCGGGCAACAAAACGACTACCTCAGGGCGGGGTCTGGCTCGGGTTAAAAGACCCGCTTCGCTCATGGACTGGACAGGTACGTACGTACTGTATTCGGCTACCAAACGAATACGCCGGCGTACAGTTTTGATCTCAAAGAGTGCGTGCCAGCATATCATATGAACCTCGTATTTCCAGTAGAAAATCTTCGATTTGATTGGATTGATGCAAGGCATCCGTTTCAGGTTCGATCGGGGTCGGGGCTTATAACCTCCGGTCTCCTCGATGACAAACCAACCAACTGAACTTCGGGCTTGAAATCGATTCCGTTCCATGGATGGTATCTACTACTAGTCAAGGTAGGGACTTACTACGTATTGTTGGAGGTACAGCCTGTAGTCTTAAGTCCTCTTCACTCTACGTACGGAGTACTCTGTAAAGACTTGTAAATATAGTTAGGCAGGGACTAGTAAACGCCGCTTATCTCCGTACCTTCAACCAGCCATCGGGCGCTAACTTACCGAGTAACTTCCTCATGCTGCTTGTGACTTGGTCTGCAGTACGGATCAATGTTCATGGGAGGTCCGTGGTTAACAATGGGAAAGACATGCAGTATGCATCGAGTATTTCACACTGTTATGCTATGAGACGAAAGACCAGTGAGTCACTCCCCCGGACACGATGATGGTTGCTGATGTTGTTGCATCAGCGGAGGGAGCTTGATCCGACCTACGGAATACATAGTACTATAAATGGACCCCGATCCTGTTGGGGGCCTCGATAACTGGAAGTAGGGAACGGAATTCCGACCGTTGCTTACTGCCCATAATATTATCGTCTGGTTTTGCCTGTTGTCTCAGACTAGGGCCACTCGAGAGTTCGATGGCTCTTTGATAGGTGTTTAGTATGGCGGCGACGACGGCTTGGTCCTCTCGATGTGTTAAACCTACTTACTCCTTATGGTGTGAAAAGTTATAGAATGGCTTAGCTTTTTGTGTGAGTCATCGAGTATTGGATGAATCTGGTACTCAATAATTCATCAAGGTTGACCTGATGACCCTCAGCCAAGTGACGGTATGATGACTCAATGCTGTACCTAAGTCAACTATACGCTAGGTGCAGATAGCGCAAAGGAGGTGATGAGCAGAGAACCAAATACGGTGAGAGTATGTGCATGGAAACAGACAACAAGGACAAAGCAGTATTGATCGTGTTGAACTTGCTATGGCCCCGTCATGGTAGTTTACCTGTCTAATCGGATATTTGGCGGTCAGCAAAGGCCATGCGGATATCCCCTCCGGGCAAATCCCGCCGGGCTACTATCAAGTGACTTGTGATAAGTCTCGACCATCGGCGCAAGATATAGAAACTTGCTCTTCAATCAGAAAAAAGAGGGAACACATCGAGATGAGAGATTAATGTAGCAAAGTGCCGAATTAAAACAACTGAAGTGCGCTAGCAACCAAGGCCATATCAATAACACGGTCAATATACATCAGTTGAGGGAACAGATATGCTGGTTGCCTCAGGCATACATCACATGACCTATCCGAAGCGAAACGCTAAGCCCTGCCCGCACAAAAAAACTACCACTACGAACGGCGATTGAAGACGGTCGACAACCTCACTACCGCCAGTCCATACCCTCAGCTCGCCGTCGCGACAAGCCTTCAAGATGCCGGTTAGCAGCCCCTATTTGACATGAACGGATATTGCTATGGGATATTTTTCACGTCCTGCCATTCTGGCCAGACGTATATCACATGGAAACCGCTAGGATGAGGATAAAGGAGGCAGGCTAACGCTTTCATCTTTCTTCAATATAGAGCCACAAGAGTTTCCGCACCAAGCAGAAGCTTGCCAAAGCTCAGAGACAGAACCGTCCTATCCCCCAGTGGATTCGTCTCCGCACTGGTAACACCATCAGGTAAATAAGAACCCTTGATTTCACCACCATTCGATTCCCGTGTGACGCTGCGACCCCCCGATGGCCTTGGATCGCCTGGCAAAATGGTAGTAGACGGAAGAGCTACGAAGGAAAGGATTGGAAATCAAATCAACACTGGATAAGCAACCACCACGACTATTTTCTACTTGCCGGGATTCGACGATTCTCTGCCCTCGGGGGGTTGGAATTCTTTTCCAAGATGCACACACGGGCGATCAGATGATACTCAGGAAGAGGTCGGATGGCTGACCTCGCTTCCTCTATCTTTCCAGATACAACGCCAAGCGGAGGCACTGGCGCAAGACCCGTCTCGGTATCTAAATTCGATCAAGCCAACCAACCGACTACTTCGATTTCGCCCGAGATGTCTTTTCTTTATCCCTGGGAATGTTTCGTTCAGTTGTGATACCGCCAACTCTTGTGTGCCTCTCTTGCTCGCGATGATTGAATCTGCATCATCCTGAACTTGTCGACCCGCTGCTTTCTGATCCACACCCTTCATCTTCTCTCCTTCGGTTTTTGCTCCTGTTTCCCGGCAAGCATTTTTATGTGGCAAGCGAATATCCGTTTCTGAACGTCGAACGATATCCGGGACAGGTCTGGTTGAGGTGCAAGCAGTCGTTTTTGGACTGGTTCTGTGATATGGTTATGAATCATGCAATTTAATTACACGAGCTGAGCAAAACAAAAATCGAAAACTTATGAAGGATAACGAGCACTGAACGAAGGTTTATTTTTCTTCTGGGGACTCTACTCTTTGATCCCACTTGAACGCGGGCTACCTGGAGCGATAAATCTGCCCAAAAAAGAGATTCTCTTCGCCTGTCTTTGCCGAGGTAGCTTTTGTTTCAAGTCATGGATTGACCTTGTAGGAAGTCATATATCGCTGCTAGTATGGTCACTCAAAATGCTGGCTCCGTATATCTTTTCAATCACGAGCATACAACCATACCCCTACAGACGCGACCCTGCGGACCTGATAAAGTAAAATTTGTTCCTAGACCCGGAGTATCTTCAGCGTCGTTTAGGTCAATCTCATACAGTAGAGCTAACTCATCTGAATTGGGTTTCAAGGACACAACATCGTAACAAAGTTTGTATTTCAGCTACTAATCGATTAAGCTATATCCCACTGTTGCCCCTAGACAATGGTCCAGGGCCAGTAGGACAAAAAGAAACAAAAAGAACCATGCGCTGACATGAAAAAGCGAGAACCGAACGCCGGGAACTGCAGCAACTGGAGACCATATGAGGTGTATCAAGCCAAACCATTGTTGAGGATTGCCTATCTTCACAGAGACCACATTTCCCATAGCGAGCCTGCGATCCTTGGAAGATATGGCAGTGCCGCTGACCAGTGACACCAATTTAGCGACTGCAAAGCAATTGTTTAGCATACGTCTCTCCTGTTTTTACGGCAGCGGTAGGGGTTCATGCACTTACTCTTCAGCCCACTCATTCTCCCGGCGGATCTGATCCTCCTCCTCAGGAGTGAAATCGTTCTGAATGTTGAATGTCTTGCGGATTTCTTCGGGGGACTTGCCCTTGATCATGTTGGCGACGGTCTTGCAGCCAACATCCAGCAGGCCCTTGATATCGAGGTAGTTCGCGGCCAAGATAATCTCGAACAGCATCTCTTGATCGACCTGCATGAACTTCTGGTCCCACTCATCGATGTCGGTGGTCTTACGACGAGAGTCATCGTCGTCACCGGTGCTGGGGGGGTCGCCCTTGTGGTGCTCGCACCACTCAATGACCTTCCTCAGGACAGCTTCATTGACCTACGGAGCCGAATGTTAGTTTTGTTTAATGAATGGTGAGGACAAGTGGGAATGGGTGGTAGGAATAACATACGTTAGGGATAGGGATAGCTTCCGTAGTATCACCAAGATCCTCGAGCAAATTCTTGATCAGAACAGAGCGTTGAGCGACATCGCGGTCTAAAAAAGCAGCATAAGTTAGACTTCAGATTCAGCGGTAAAGTGTTAAGGCGACAAGGACGTGTGGGGGGGG